TTCTTCGTTTTTTTCTCCCGGAGACATTTTTTCCGCGATCTCGGACGTAGACGAGTACGAGGCGAAGGATAGGAGTGTACGTACGAAGGGGTGGATAGGCGACGATAGGCGACGATATCGGACGGTCGGTGATTGATGGAAATTGGAAGTTTGATTGGCAGGTTTTTGACGTGCTTGTTGTGGATTTCGAGCTGGCAGCTCGGCTGCTGGAGACAGGAAATGACGAGGTGGACCGAGGTGGACAGCGGCGGCGACGGTTCCACGGTGGCGCTGTCGTTAAACCGTGTCCAGCGCGGGGGGAGATAAGGCGGACCGGTGCTCGGTTTTCATTTCTTTTTTTTTTTCCCCCGTCCTCTTCCCTTTGGATCGGAGCTTTGTTACCGCGCGGCGCGCAAAAAGTGACTTCATTACTTCGTTATCAAGGGAGCCCGAAAATCCGCAGCGAAAGCTCACATCAAAGGCCGCCCTAATGACGCGGACGGGAGTATACGAAATTAATTGCGCGCCGTAACGAGTGAATCCTCATCAAAGGGGCATTAGACCGGCGAATCCCCTCCGGGTACGTGCTCCGCGGCACTGGCCTTCCGCTGGAAATCTTCGCGATGTTGGTCGTACGAACACCGTCGAGCGAACAATATTTTAGGATTAAAGTAATCCGATCGGCAGGTTGCCGGCGATAGCTGGGGAGTGACAGCCCGAAAGCTGCAACCGTCCCGTGGGAGAGCCATCGCGCGCAATGGAGGAAGAGGAGAGTAGAATTTTCTCGTCACAGCCGAGTCAAGCCGATTAACCAAAATCTTGTTACGACCACACGACAGGAAGCCCGCGGGGTGTCCTTCGGCTGCGAGCCAACGAAAATGGAAGATCTTCGTGGAACGATCTTCCCTCGGCTTCCCTCCGTCTAAAGCTGGCATTTTCACGTGTGGTAAGCGAATCCTCATCCTTAATCCGTGTAATTTTTAATCCGTGCTCGGGTTACTGCTATTACACCCTTTCACTGTCGACGAAAGGGACAATCCCGAGCGAGCGCAACACCACGAGCGAGGAAGAAAATTGATCGAAAATTGGAAATTAAACTCGCAACTTTCGAAAATCTTGTATCGTGTCGATCCTGTCTCTGATTTCTCAGTAGTCGAGCCGAGAATTAGAACTCCAGGCAGTTGCGTTTGAAGATCGTCAGCACGATCCTTGGCACGAGCCTAAACGACGAGGAAACGTCGTTTCCCAGCGACAGAGTAAGCTTTGAGAGGATCTTTCTTTCCAATTATACCAAAGTCATCGTCGTTACTACCTTACCACTTCGGCGAGATGCTCGAGTCACTCTCTTGGGCTCCTATCGAAAACCAACGGAACGACGATCCCCCTGCGTTTCACTCTCCTTCCCCCCTCCCTCCCTCTGATTCTCAGTTCCCTTCCGCGAAGGAGGAGTCGGTCTGCTCGTCTCGGATTCATTCCCAAAGCCGTTTGCACATTAGCGGGCGAATAAATGACACCGAAATATAGCGCGGATGCGCGATCGCCATAATAGGAGCGCCGAGTAGTCTATTAAGCGTCCTCAAAACCAGTTAGTGAGTCGGCAATCCAGTTTAGGTACAAAATGGCTGTCGTTTAGCGAGGATTAATGGTCTCGGGAGTGCCCCAGGGCAGCATAATGGGGCAGATGCGTCCTGGATGAGGGGGAACCCACTCTCCTCTCTCCATCGTTCCCTGCTTCGTCTCTCTCTCTCTCTCTCGTTCTCTCTCTGTCGCTCCGGTGTCGCGACACAACCACCCCGCTGGCCTAGCCTCCCTTGCTCCATCCCTCTGTTAACCTCATTATATACACCTATCTGGCTACGGGGTCCATTATGCCCTTTTTGCGCTTTCCTTGCGTGTACACCGGAATAAATACACGCGTTTCCCTCGAGTCTCCGTGCGTCTGTGTGTATGTGTGTGTTCCTGTGTGCACAGTCGCGGTAGAACACGGCAGCATCGAGAGCGTGGTAGCATCGAGGGGAGTCGGATCTCATATTTGGCCCTCGAAGCGCCGTTTAGTTTGGCGTTTCATGGTCGAGCGATCTCCCCATAGCTCGCGCGTACCCCCTATCTATCTATCGAGAGAGTCTCTCGTTTTCTCGTTTCGACGTTCTGTAAAGAGTCGTTTTGAAATCGACTCCGCGCCGACGTTCTTTTCCCTCTTCCTTTACTCGCTCGTGCGCGAGAGGAACGCGAGCATTAGAGAAGTTTCGGAGAAGCACTGATTCGACTGGCCGATGACACCAGCTTCTTTCAGAATTTATCTCTTTGGAGGGAATTGTTCTAAAAATTCGTTTATTTACTCGATTAAGTGTAATACATAATGGTGTAATATAATAATGTTTCTGTGAAACAAGATTTATTACCACAGCTTTCATTTTTAATATCTGCAGATACATACTTTGATAATTTCATTTCAACAACATCTCTCTTCGAACATTTTAAAGCGAGAGTGTATATAACAGGATACATCGAATAATTTACAATTAAAAGTAGGATGGAATTTTACATTCTGACAAAAATTGAAAATCTTCGGAAAGATCGAATTGTGTCTTGACATTTATCCATTAACGATGATGGACAATCTGGAAAACAGGAGTAAGATCTTGCTTTCTTTCGATAGATTTCGAAAGATCATTATTGTTTGCAATTGTGAAAATATTACAAGATGGTTCGACTATTTTTTAAGCATACATCAAAAGATTGAATCATCGAACAATTAGAAATAAAAAATGTCATCCAATTTTACCGAAGATTGAAAATCTTTCAAAAGATCGAGTTATATCTTGATATCTATTCGTTATCTACTGTCGGTAATGGACAATCTAGAAACAGGTATAGAATCTTGCTTTGCTTCGATAGTTTTCACGAGATCGTTGCCGTTTGCAGTTGCAAAAATGTTACAGGACACGGTTCGATTATTCTTCTTTCTGCGAAATTTTGCACATTTCTTTTGCTAATCGTGGCAGTGCGTCCCGCAGCGTCGGTCCTTTAATCCGGCCGTCTCTCGGGACGCAGCCCGAAATTCGCACCACGCCTACAGTTTAACGAGATAA